TCATTTCTATTCATTAGATATCACATTGGATGGCTTAAGATGGGTCATAAAGTTCAAGAAATTTCTTTTTGGAGCTGTGTCTATTCAATGACACTCTTACAACTACCATTTTGAAAATTTGAGGGCAAAAATGATTGTGACTTGCATGTACAAAAGATAAATGATCGCTTAAAAAACAACCATATTAAATAAAGCATTATCAACCGTAAGGAAGTTTGATATTCCTAATATTAAACCAATCTAGAATATTACCTCATATTTCATAGAATTTAATAAAACAAAATAATAAAGCGATAAATGCAGGAAAAAATGAAACAAAAACACCACGAAAACATGAGACCTTTGTATGAAATTCACAAAAGATTGGATAAAACCGTGATTCCATTTATTTAGACCGATCCGCATGTAGTTTTCTGAATTCCAATAAGAGGCCTTTGGGACTTTTCGGATCTCTTGAATCTATTTTGTAAAGATAAGGGAGGCATGGTAATAAGATGAACTTCACTGTTTCCTTTTACTAGGGAAACGATCAGAAGTCTCATTTGCAGAGCAGTAAAGAAAGGTTGTGCAAGTGTCATTAGAAATCATGCTATCGATACAATGAAAGGTTTGATCAAGTCATAACCACATCAAATTGATAGAATGTATTTAAAAAATAGTTTAAGAGTATTAAATATATTTAAAAGAGTTACTCAATTTTTTTTAGCTAGTCGAATCGATCAAAATATGCCTATCCATCCTGTCAAACCACCAGCCAGTGGCTTACCAGGTCTACTCTAAAATAAAAATCAGGTCTTTGCTCCCTAACACTTAAATGTTCATTCTTATAGGACAACTCAAAGGTAAAAGTAAACATGTTAAATACTACTATTCTAAAGGAGTCTATCAAAACAATGTGTTCAATTTTATTAGATTAATTTGGAAGGGCCTTCCATTTTTGCCAAAAAAGGTAAGCACTTCATATGTTATGCAGATCAAGGAGAAGTATTGTGGCGTATCTTTGAAACTAAAAGAAAAAACACGGGAAGAAGTTTATATAAGGTGTCAATTTTGTACTATTGAAGTAAGGTATACTTCAAAAATTATCTAGGAGAGAGTGTTTCAATGTTAGAAAACTTCAAATTTTCTTGTTTTTTTTTATATATATATATAAAAAAAAAAATTTCAAGTCCTAAAATAAAGCATCAAATAACAAATTATGTAAACTGTATATTTTTTAGATTTTCAAGTGTTTATATATTTCCTCATTCTGTAACCACTTCTAGATTTTTAAATTTCATAATGACGTAGTTGAAAATTTATCGGCACCCGATACCTGAAAAATAGAACTACATTTTAGAGAAAAAAATAAAAATTGAGAAGAAATTAACAAGAAAAACTAGTGGACACGGGGATCTGAAATTTCTGCCACGTCCCGCAAGAATTAAGAGAAAAAAACAATCGACGAGAAGGCTTTCTCTCTCTCTCTCTAACATGCTACTGATTTCTTTCCATTCAACGTCAAAACTTCCTCCTCGCATTACATGGTTTGTTTTCGTTTTATTCCCCACCAAAGGATCATCCTTACTAAAAAAACACACAAACCTTTCTAAAAGACTTAAAATCCTTCAAAAGATTTTTCTTCCCATCCAAATAGCTCCTACCAGTTGAAGATAAGCTTTCCAAAAAGAAAAATAAATGGACTCATCAACAAACATCCAAAAGCAGAGCAAACGGACCCATCTCAACTATTTTAAAAAAAATCAAATAGACAAATAAAAAAATCAAATAAAAAAATTGAATAATTTTACAAAATGGTGTTTCTTCTTCCGATCCCGATCCCGATCCCAATCCATTCCCTCGAGATAATCAATAGCGATCCCCTCGACTGCATGACATAGCCCGGAAGAAAAATAGACTTTCAAATGATCAAAAGGTTTCTGAACCAAAACCACATCTTCTGGTAAAATCTAGAGGTGCGCCTTACTTTACAGTATTAGGCAGCCACCTTATAAAAAAGGAAACAGTTTCTATGTGGCCAACCCACATATTGTAGAAATACAAGCTTGACAATAAATATAGTTTTTAAATTTAATTTGATTTTAATTTTTAGAGAATATATAATTTTTAATATGGAGATCATAAATATGATAAAAAAAAAAACTAGAAACAATAATTATATTAAAAAACATTTAAACCGATAGTTACAATTCTTTTGAGAAGGACCACCTATTCGCATCCATATTGTTTATACCTGTAGACCGCATACTGTAGAAATACGGTCCACCCCGCATGAAACAATTTTCCTACAGAAAACTCACCCTAAAAACACCGTATTCGCAACTTTGTAAAGGTATTTAAAGTACGGGTGAGTTTGTCTGCCGTTGGGACGACCGAATTGGGTATCTAGATCATTTTTTAACAGGGTGTGGGGCCTTTAATGCAAGGCTCTCTCTCTCTCTCTGATAAGCACCATGTGCCCTCCACTACAATATCTATAGGGTCTAGACCCTTCCCATCTCTTACAATTTGAAGCACCATCCATGGCTTCCTCTCTCCAAGACCCCTTTCTAACAGGAGGAAGACCACCAAGCCCAGGCCCATGAAGGCATGACAACAGAGAAGCATCAGACCTCCATCGATGAGACCATCGAAAAATATGTGGGATCGTTTGGGCCCAGTCAGATTGCTCAGGCCATGCTTGTGTCCTTCGCATGGTGCTTTGAAGCTCAACACACATTCATAACCATATTCACTGATGCCGAGCCCATTTGGCATTGCACGAGCCAAAGTTTGTGTGGCGGAGCTGCTTCGGTGTGTGAGATCAGTACAGATATGTGGGCCAGGGACAGGGGTGCATGGGCCTCGACAGTTTCCGAGTGGGGAGTGTCGTGCTCAAGCCGGGTGATTGCAGGGTTGCCTGCATCAGCCTTCTTTTTTGGTTGCTTGGTTGGTGAGTCCTGGTTTCATCTAATTGTGTCTTTGTGTGATCCTTTAGAAAATTTTTCACTTATGAATAGAAGTTACCAAGTTTTTTAATTTCCCCGCAATACAAGGGCAAAATAAGATATTCTTGATCTAATTTATGCAGAACACCTTTTATTCACCGAATGAACAATTTCTTTCATTAAAAAGAACAATAGATTTTGTGTTCTTAACCTGTTAGAAATCATTCTTTGAATAGACGGTATTCATTTACTGATGAAGCCGAGTTCATTTGGACTATCCTTAGGGTCCAAATTGTTCGTTCATTTTTTTATCAAATTTACTGAACTGATAGCTGAGATCGATAAAAAGAAAGGTGTGTAAAGAATAACTCCAGGTATTGCGGTCATATAACCCCCCTGAATGATTTCTACCTTGGTTTCAAAACTGGACCGAGTCAACTCGGGCTAGGCTCATTGCCGAGCCGAGTTCCAAGGTACAAACTCGGGTTCATAAAGAATTGTATAAGTTATGTTTTTTTACTAACTCAATATATAAATATTTTATATATAAATTATGAAAGTTATGTTTTTTTAATGAATCAATATATAAATATTTTACAAATACTTTTGAAGTTTTGGATGACGATTTTTTAGGCTTTTTTTCTATGATATGCTATATTTTTTTACTTCCCACCTTTTTTGGATTATTTTTTCAAATTGTTTGAAGTTGTAAATCAATTTCTTCCAACACCCCATCATTAGCCAAGGAATTTGCCCTAGTGTTTGCCTTGTTAAAAACCTTGAGAGAAGAGATGGACCCACTCCTAAGATTAGGGGCAGTGTGATGAGACTATCCATCGTAGAGATCTGGCTTTTAGTATAATTGTGAGAACTCTGTAAATTTTTGTGTTCCTCTCCATGGCCATGAAACCATTTTCCAACGTTGGGCTTCCTCTTGAAATCTCTGAGAAAACGTGGCCCTGTAATCTTAGGAAGTGGGTGGTTACTTTCTAGCTGTTAGATAACGACACTTTCTGTCTTTGAGAAGCCTCTCTATTTTAGTGATAAGCATTAAATTATAAGAGAGAGAAATATTGCACGTTTAAAGGCCCCATGGCCACACACACGTACCAACATCTCCAACTTGGTCATGAGGGCTAAATATATTGAAATATTATAAAGTTTTTACCACTTAATGAATTTAACATTTATGAGCATATTTTTGTCATAGTGATCAATGATCCGGATGACACCCAAGAAGGGCAGATGAACAGGTTCAAGGTAATGGTGCAACCCATCCTCGAAAAGATGGAACGCCTAGAACCCTTCAGGTCCCCTTCTTCTCACCTTGAGACCAATTCCCCGACTGGTGAGGACACAGCTCCCAGGCAAACTCGCTCACCAGTCTCCCAAGACAGCCCTACCTCTCGAGGGGTTTCCCAGACCGATATAGACGCTATGGTCACCGATTACCTCAAGAACAAGGTCCTAGGCATGTAAGAGGCGCCGCTCTACTAAAAGTCATACCCTTCGTACATTGACCAGGTGTCGTTTCCCCCAAACTATAAAAAAGAGAAACTCCCGCTGTTTAATGGTACTACGTCTCTTCACCAGTGTATCGCCCACTTCCGAGCGGCCTGTCACGAGACGGCGACTGACGAACGACTCGTCCTCCATCAGTTCGTCGAGATTCTCGAAGGGCCAACCTTCCGGTGGTATGCTTGGCTGCCTACAAACTCGGTGAATACCTAGCAGGAAATGGAGAAGTTGTTTTATCAACGCTTCTACGAAGTCCAAAAGAACGTAGAGACTATCGAGCTCCTTACTTTGACTCAAGACCCTGGTAAGCCAGTTGACAAGTTCATCGCTCAATGGAGAGAGTTGACAACCTTTCATGCCATTCCCATGACCGAAAAAAGAAGCTGTTCGGACCTGTATACAGAACATGCTTCCCGGGATCGCCCTACATGTCGAGGCCTCGAACCCTCCCTCCATGTTAGAGCTTATCTCTAAAGCAGTTCATATAGAGGGTCTCTCCAAGCACCATGGCAGATCTCGTCAGCAACCCTCTGGTTCGAATTCTCGCTTCAACAGTCAGAGCAAAAGGCGGTGATCAGTGCGGCCGTCACCATGACTGACAGCAAGAATGTCATCCCTCAAACCCTGGACCTCTCCAAGGCACAAATGCCTCAAGCTGAGGGCATATAGCAGTCCTACAATAAGGTCCCGCCTCCTAAAACTGCTAGTCGAAGTGACTTCTGGATCTAGCGCCAGAATAAGGTTTACCCCTTCGACAAGGAGTGGACTGCTGCACTACTTCGACTGCTACTAGAACAGAACATGATCCAGTTGACGGAGGTCAACACTCAAGAGTCGGCTGGGCAGGAGACGAATGAGAGGTATTACGCCTATCACAGGAAAGTAGGTCATCCCACTCATGACTACTATAAGCTCAACGACACTATCGAAGCCCTTATTAACAAGGGTTCAGATAAAGCTCAAAGATTTAAAGAAATCATTCGGGGCAATTGAGGGCTCCCACATAGTGACGATCAATGAGGATGAGGGGGAACTCGCTATCCTCTGTGCACTATTCTCCATAATGCTTGAGGAGGGACACATCATGCCAAAGCCGACAAGGCAGCCTAAGTTCCTGCCTACATGAACGGAGAACCTCTGGTGCTCGTATCACCTGATACGAGGCCATGACATGAGCCAATGCACTTGCTTCCACAAACTGTTGGCAAAGAAGATGCAGAAGCTCATGGTAACCCAGCAGGGTGCCCTCAAGTCTCTCTTCAGCCAGTGCAAGAAGAACCCTCGATGCAAGCCTCGAGAAGCACTGAGGCAGACCCTCTGCGTGCCCTCTTCGAGGCAATGCTCCTATAGAGTCTCATCACTCCCAAGCCCACCAGGCAGCTTAAACACCTTGCCCAGGGTACAAAAAACCTATGGTGCCCATATCATCAAGTATAGCACCATGAGCTGAAAGAATGTTCTGGGTTCGAAGCTATAGTCACTCAGAAGGTACAAGAAGGCCACATCATCTGCGCCGTTCTCCCCGAGCACTTTCAAGCCTTCACTCCCATCCAATAGGAGACCCCGCTGCAGGTCCCTTATGAGCATACACTGGACCCTTCAGAGCCCTCGACTTCTCAGCCCTAGGAAGTCTACCATGGGCGAAGTAGGTTTAAATCCCTGAAGCGTGAGGCAGTCCACCAGGCTAGGACTACTCACAAACCCGATGAGGCAGACCAAATGCTTCCTCAGGGGTCCAGAGGAGACGACGAGCACCTAGGTTAGTACACCGAAGAATCCCATCCCTCAACCACCAGTCGAGTAAGAATTCCTTAGGCCCCTTCCTCCACTGCCGACCATGCAAGACTTCATTCCGGGAGTGGCCCGCCTTATCTTTTCGTCCAATCAGGTGGATGTCCCTTAGTCACCAACAGCTTGGGATTCCTTCAATATGGGTGACAATGCTAAAAGCATCCCTCAACGGTCAAAGCCGAGGAAAGACCTAAAATACCCCCCGCACACGTCCAATTCCGATGATGGCATTAAAAGCCGGCCGGGACATTCTAACTCTTCTTCTCCTCCCTCCTCTTCTATTTCTTCCACAGGCACAGCTTGACAGTGCCCAAACTTTGACGCTCTAAACAGAGAGCTCGGAGGCACCAGTATCAGCAGGTCGCAGCAAAAGCACCTTAGAGATGCTAGCCCAGGTGATTGGATTCTCGACAGCCACCGACGCCTTGGCAACCTAAGCCAAAACTGAGCCATCATCAAGCTCCTCTGCCAAAGAAGCCTTACAGATTTTGGAAGTACCACCCAGCACGGGGCAAATGAACCTGAGATCATGGAAGAAGCTATAGCTCACGCCTCAAAAGCTCAACGTCCTCAAGTTTCCTGACCCGTCAGTTTTTCTTGAACCTCAACCCCAAACCTCTACATCCCTAATACAAATCTCCATTACTTCTCCATCAACCCAAACCGCACCGGCTGAAAAACAAAGTCAGCCAATGCCGCAAACCAAAACTCAACTAAAGCATGTTCCTAAACCTACCCTACTCCCTACATTAGTGACTAGATCAAGAACACAAAAAATTAATGAGGATAAAGTGAAATATGAAGTAATTGGGCACTTGAGATAGATTCCATCCCTTCTAAGTATCTATGATGTCGTCCTGCTGTCTAGAGACTATCATATGGCTCTGGTTCAAGCCCTTTCTGACCCAAAGGTGTACGAGACTGAAGTGGAGCCTATTGAGGTTGACCCAGCCATCCTAAGTGGGTACTTGACAATCTCCTTTTTCAAAGACGACCTTCAGTTGGGAGGCAAATTCCACAACCGCCCTCTCTTTTAAAATGGTAAGCTGCATGCCTACCCTATCAACCGGATCATGCTGGATAGAGGGTCAGCAGTCAACCTAATCCCAAGAACGATTATCACCCGACTGGGATGGAGGTTCTGTTCGTTGACTTCGTGTGAAAAATCCAACCGTTAATCATGTAGGGGTTCGAGTCAAAGATGGCTCGTGACCTTACGCCTGCAATGGAATTGGTCTCGCGTAGATCGGGCTCGCGAACGGCGTGATTTGGCCACTCAAGTGAAGCACGATGTTGTTAAATTTCTTGCACTTTTTCATCACGGATCAGCAACTTCTCTAGCTTTTCTTCTCACTCGAGTTTCATCACGGGGTGTGCCACATATCGAATCGCTCATCTTGACTAGACGAACATACTCACAAATTTGAGCTTGATCCGACTTAGGATGAGAGACATATGAGCGTTAAAAGTCACTGGTCGTGACTGTCCATTCAATGGTGTAGTGTTGCAGGGTGGCCGCTCGGGAATAGCATGCGGCTTCTCCTGTTCACTCTTTTGCCTATAACTTCTTCTTAGAATGTCCGTTTGAGTTGAAACTTTACCCTTGGGGGTTTTCAACCATGATGGATCCAATGGTAGTGGTCCTACAATAATTTGAGATGTTGAAAATGTAGCTCTAGTTATAGGGGTCTGTTTCAGGGTGTTAGAAGCCGATTCTGCTGGAATTGTTTCTCAGTTTGCACTGCCTTAGACATGTCGAAATGCGATGAAACTTTGCAGGACACTCTTGAGAGCCCTTACGAAGATATTGACCAGTTCTGGAACTATTCTGAGATTGTCCGAATTTCCACTACTTGCTAGGCCTTTATTGAGCGGGGGCCTCATGTTGATGAAAAATACCTTCCAACAGCATGCCCCACCAAATGTTATGCTTCGAGAGAATCAAGAAGTGCAATCATTCGGGATGTTTGAGGGATCTTTGAAGATTCCACAGCCTCAAGAGACTATTTGTGGTTCTGGAGCATGAGGCCATTGTCAGGACCTCCTCGTACAAAACCAAGCCTTTTTTGAAGGCCAAATGCTACGAACCTTCGCTCGACATTGTTTGCTGCTACACCAGGTTTGTTTTTTATGATCAAGGTTTTTCCTGTAGGTCCCTTCTAGCGGGGTCCAGTCGGGGGCTTCTGACCCAACCTGAAAGTCTGGTTTCATGATTTATATGTCCTAATCTTAAGTGCCATAAATATGGATCATCCATATACATAAAAGTATCAAAAGATGCATCAATATAATCAGAAAATGATGAACTATCATTAATATTCATTCGGTATAAATTGTCAACTTTAGTAACGTACACCAAAGCTTTAGAATGCTTCCCAATGGTAACTCGACCAGACCTGAACCTTATTTCATAACCCTTGTCGTCTAGCCTACGTACATAAATCAAATTGCGCCTCATATTGGGCGCATACAATGTATCAGTCAATAAGAGATTTTTTCCTCCTTGTAAACACAGCTTAAAGGTACCAACATCTAGTACATCGCAGTAGGTATCATTTTCCATATAAATCTGCTAGTTACCGGCTACAAGCTCTTTCAATTCTGTGAATCTGTCCTTAGTCCTTGAGACATGTCGAGTGGAGGCTGAGTCGACCCACCAATTTCTCAGGTCATGATCGGCAACTATTGATTCTAAAACTACGCAGATCAAGTCATTTCTCTTATTTTGATTATTTTGAGCAGGGTTGTTATTTTGGTATCGATTTTTATTTTTCATCTTAGGACAATTACACGTGTTGTGCCCAATTTCCTTATAATGAAAACAGATCTTCTCGACCTTATTTTTTTATTTTTAAATTTTCTCCCTTTTCCCTTATACCTATTATTTTTTTGATAATTGAAAGGTTTCATAGGGATCTGAGAAGATGAACTTTGTGCAAAGTGAAGCTCATTTGACTTCTTCCTCATTATTCTCTCATCTTCAATACTGAGATGCATGAGAAGATTTAACAAGGTTATCCCTTGTACATAATGGTTCAATGCAATTTTAATATCTGTCTGCAAATCGATTTTCATATCTATCTAGGAAATTTTAAGCTTAAAAAATAATGTAAATCGAGCAGATCTCCAGACACTAAGAAATGGACGGTCGCCATAATATCTTCCAAGATGCATTATTTTCAAGACTTGAAATCCTTTTTGCTCACATCTATCTATCTTGAGCTTGAGATGATTAATTAGTGTGTTTTTTGGCATCACAATAGTTTTCCCCAATTAGTTATAAGGTTGATACTTTATATAAACTTTTTTTCTTATTATAAAACTATGCCTTATAAAATTTTAAATATTAAGGAGATTATTTTGTCCTAAAACTATGTATGTTTTATGACCTCTTTCATGGAATTTTAAATAAGATGTGTAATATTGAGCTCTGGCGTTCCCACTAACACCACCCTACAAGCACCTTCAAAAACAACTAACAGTACCCTACCAACACTTTCAAAAAAAAACTAAATCCTAAACTATTTGATGAAATGGTTAGGTCTTACCCAGGAAAAAAAAAACCTCTTCTCATCCCAACTGCTAGTTGCTCCTCACAAGAACTTGATCAAGTTTTCTTTTCTTTTCCTTTTTTTTGGTAATTTAGCCCATGAAAATAACATTATTGATGAAAACCTTTTACATCATCACACCAACTACAGGTAACGAAAATTGAAACTAACGATTAAAAGGAAATGCAAAAGAAAACTAAGACAAGCATAAATTCCCCTTGAATGAGCCTACGCCCATTTAGCCATGATAGACATACCACCAGCCCCTAGCAAAACTGCAGCATAAGCTATGGCTTGTAGCTTGGGACTATTTTGAAACCTTGACCCCATGAAATCAGTAGCCAAGAGATCCACCAAGGCCATGTAGTTAAGAAGCCCAGCTGAAGCTGCATTTAACACTCCCACAACAATAAGAGCTGTTGGGCTGTTTTCACTATACACATTGGACAAAAAAATCCCCAATGCTATTCCAAAAGGAGTTGTTACTGAGAAGAAGAACACCATGATAGACTTAGTCAAGATCTTGTACTCAGCCTGAAATCCAATTTTCCATCACATTTAAGTGCCATAATATTGTTGCTGGTAAATATATATGCATAAATGTATGTAAAACAAGAAAATTTTGATGCAACAAAGAAACAATTGAGAATATAAACTTTAATGTTTACCTCATAAAATGCTCCCCTACAGCATACTGTCATACACCCTCATGTGAAAGAGCTATTATAGGAAGAGTTGTGTAATTTGAAATTTTGGGATCCACCCAAGAATACTAAACTTCACAGCCCTTCAAATTACAAAAGTTCCAGATAGAGAGAGTTGTGAAGGGTGGATTTATTAATTTTGTTGTCTATTTTATAAAAAAATTTATTCTTGTGGGGCAAATTTGTAAATATTACTACAAGACAGTAGGTTTTTTTTTCATCTCCATAAAGGGTAAGGGCACTCTACAAATAAAGTTTCAGGACACTAACTTCCAAAATGCCGTTGTACTTTTGTGAAAATTTCAAAATTATCATTGCTTAATGGTAAAGTTATCTATTTAAACAATTTTTTAATTAAAAAATAATGATT